GCATCTGTATCTGCTGCAGCGTCGAAGGAAGCCGCAACAATAATCGCCATGTTAACAGTTCGTGGTACTGCAATGGTCGTCGCACTGTCGATACGGACACATGCTATCCTGCACAACAGCCAAGTTCCTGACTCAGGGTATGTGATTCCGCTAGGTCAAGAGGACAACATATCTGTCCTTTAGGACGTTAGGCGGGATTGGATTCCGATCAATACGAGCAGCAAATGTTGCGGAACGGTAAACCGAAGTTCCTAGAGGCCACGTTACTGCAGCAGTAGAATTCTCCCACGTGTTAAACAACCGATGTTTATAGGTTAACTCTCCAAGTCGAAAACCCGCTGTGCGGTCTACCCATTTAATTATACATATTAAAATAGCCTAACCTAACTCTTAGGCAGATAACACTGCTGCGTACTTTCCTTCAACAGTTAACAAAACCGAACCAGAAAATTGATAAGTGTTAACAATTTAAAATTATTTCATATTTAAAGTGAGATCAAATAAATCATTATCTGTTACTCTCACATGTATAGCTTTTAGGCTTTTATTATTGTTTAATATTTGCATAAACGCCTCAAGTTTGTATAAGAAAGACATCAAATAAATCATTTCAGGGGGTTGAAACTAGTAGTATCTTGAAGCACACCAGTTTAAAAATTTTTGTATGTTATCTACGTGGAATTTAATAGAATTAAAAAAGAAGCAAAGAAACAGAAAAGGTACACTGAGATTTGCAATGAAAAGCGGCAACTGTATGCGAAGATGCATGAGATTAACCTTGGTTCTCAAACCGGTTGACTGAGAAAATATGAAAATGAGAGAAAGTATTCTTCAGAAATGTGAAAATTTAGTTTTAGAGATCATATTATCAACATAGTTTGAAAAGATGCGAAAATGAAATTTTAATAAACCAGAATATCAAGAATCACTTGATAAAAGAAAACATAAGTCCTTCAGGTGCAAAGACGCTGTGGACTAAAAACTCTTATATATTCCCATCGTAAAAAAAAAAAAAAAAAAAAAAAAGGTTACGTCCAAAGTGGCGTTATTTTAACGTTTTGTGTGTTGCCTTTTTTTATTAAATATCATGCTCTTTGCACTTAAACCATAAAATTCAGTTCAATAGCAATGTCGCAAAATAATTTTAAAATGAGCATATCTTTAGAATTTCCGATATACAGTTCCGCGTGATAGAGATAAAAAGGTTCCCCCCCCCCGTAGAGTGTTGCCGTTGCTCGCTTTTAAATCGTTGAGTTTGTTACTAAAAAATTCGTTAAATTTTTACAAAATATGAGATTGATAATAAAACAAATTCCAAATTTCGAATTTGGTCTTCCACATGCCCATATTCGTAGGAGGATTACGTCATTCAAAATTCGATGGCTCTACTTACCGTTGTTTTATCACAATGCGAGAAATATACATACATTTATGCAGTTTTTTCATTATTTAATTTCTTCAAATATAATGCAGGACTCTAACATTTGGTGGCAACAGTTTGAAAAGTGATTCGCCATTTATAGTGATTCAAAGCAAAACGAAAACGATAGCCTTTCAGGGACAATGCCCCTTTGGACTAAAAAAAAATGGCGAGAGAAAGAAAAAACAATCAAGCAAATTTTGAAAGATTATTGTTGATCTTGCTTCGTTAAAAGCTATAAAAATTAAATTGCGAAGAGAATTTGAAAATTAACTGCTGTGTTTTCTATATTAATTGTGTTCCTATGTATATTACTTCAACGTTTTTGTTATTTATTTAAGAATTCTTTTAATGTTTTCATTTAAATCATTGCATATATCATGTTGTGATTTTATAAAGCTGCTGGTAAAAATATTACAAGAATTATGGTATTATGATTAAAAATAGGTCTTTTTTTAATATACAAATGTACAAGGGTAATTAATCTGGATGTACACAGGAACGCAAGTTTCCCTCTTTACCTTGGGTAAAAAAATATCTAGGTACGGCTCTGCTTGGATACATGGCATCTTTGATTTTACTTCTTTCTACACATTTTTCTTCCAAGAGGTCATTTACTCAGTTTTTATAGTCAAGTCACTTAAGAACGCTCGTAACGCTCATATACCCGTTCTTTCAACGATTGACTGCCTTCTGTTCTCTGAATCAATCACGCTGTTCACAGGCTTAAAGTCTGGTAAACAGAGGGAAGTACAATTACTGCCGTATATGCTAAAATGGTTGGTGATTTTTATACAATAATTTTACATTTCTAACTTACAATAAATTTAAAAGTGATGTAATTTCCCTCTTCCCTGTCGGAAGTGTCCTACTTAGAAATCTTGATAACTTCGGCTGTATCTTTTTAGTTAAGCATTAGTTAAGTGTGATTTTTTTAGTACTCTTGAATTCAAGCCCAAGTGGAGGCTTTTCTGTACGTCCTGAGAAAGGGACCGTCTGTGAAATTCTTATTTTGAGAAATAAAGGGTAATTAACCCTTCTTGAGTTTTACGTATCTGTTCCTGAACTAAAGCGAATATTCGCTTACCTGTTCACTAGGCTCCCACACACTTAGCTGTTAGATTAAAGGTTGGGACACTACAATGTGTTACTACACGAAAATTAAAATGCTTCTGAATTCATAGAAACAGTTACTCACAGCAGTTATTGCCAATCACTGGTATACTTCCGCACATAGTCCTTTTATGATACGAAAAATATCTACCTGACAGTCTAATCACAGTTCGGGTTTTGGTACGCATATCCTGGATGCCCTGAAATTTTTGTACCACAGGCTTATTTTTCCCATAATACTAAAACGTGCATCTGGGAGACATCAAATAATTTAGTGACTAGGAAATTGGATGGGGGTAATCTAGTCACCCTGTGCGGGAATATCTTACTCTGTATACCTCTAGTGTCTAATACCAGTCAGGTAGAGCACTATCTTGCTAAGGAAAAAAATAGATTGCTGCTAGCGAGGAAGACCAGTTGCTTCAGCATATTTAGGCAAATATTTTTTGCAGTACAGGCATCGACAGCCAGGTAGGATCTAATAACTTAAATCTACAGCAAACCACACTATGATACCCATTCACATTTGGAGTCTTTTATACATATACCCTCGCTCATGATGTTGATTTTCTGAGTTCCAATTCCTTCCTCTGAGATGAAAGTATATAAAAGGATTTATTCAGGATTTCGGAGTGATTCTAAATGCACGAAAGCGTGTCAAGGCCAAACTATTATAGAGTAAGCTCATAATCAGTTTAAAGTTTCTGCTTAATTTGAACACATGCGGAGGGAATTCGAATGCAAAACACGATGCAGCATCGTTCCCACTTTGAAAAGATGCTTGTCTAACAGTTAAACTCCTCGAAAATACTAATTCAGCCACTTACCTTGTTTTTTTAGTTTCCAACCTTCCTATGCCCATTTTCAGAAATCCCTAAGAAGTTAAGTACATTCCTAACTGCCAAAAATGATGTATTTCGATTATCCTTAAACGTTTCTTCATAAATGGTGCTGTTTAAAATTCATTTGAACCATCAGTTCACGTACAACAACTGATACTCGGCCAAATCCCGCCATGCACAAGACAGGCACCGTTTTCACATTCCTCGTGACTGGAACCGCGCGAGAACCCACATGGTCTCACAGTAAATTGTCTCTAAGCAGAAAAAAAAAACAGGTCATTCACTAAATGTCCTTGAAACAAATATAATGCCATTTGCAGGCTTACTGAGATATTTTTAAATAAAGTACTTTTGAGTCAGATAGCCTGTAAATACGCGTACTTAAATTTCATTAAATGAGAGATGTTCATGAAATAAAAATAAGTCTCTGAGATAATAACTGACAACATGTCTGACATTGATATGCTGATGGTGGGAGATTTGGGTAACGAATACAACTGTTAATACTGGAATTTTTAGAAATGAGCTTCAAAAATGATTTTTTAAATACTTTTGTGTTAGGACGGATAATATTTCCTTCATTGGTTATTTAATTCCCAGGACCAGATGCCTGTTGTCTCACACTGAATCGTCACATATTATGTGCGAAAAGCGGTAATATAAACGAAATAATGTGAAAGAAATTCTGAACTGCAAAGCACGTAACACATATATAAAAGAAGCCTGATATTTTCTGTGTAAAAGGTGGCACCATTAATGAAATAATGTGTAACAAATGGGAATGATAATGCATGTGAAATTTTAAACGCTAAAACATAAGCAATAATGAAACAAATAGTCATACAACTTACAAAATTTCATTACAATGTGTAATGGGATACAGACATTAGTATGAAAGTAATATACACATTACTGCGTGCACACAGTAAAGTGTGCATTAAGAACAGCACATTAAGTGCTGGTTCTTTAATATTGTAATTTATTAATTAACTAACGCAATGTTACTTAAATATAAGACAACTGCTTCAGGCAAACAATAATACGAGGGACCCTTTGTTCATACATCCCCGCAATTAAGCGAGCCCTGCAAGGTTCTCCTAACCCTATGAGACTGAAAATCGAGTTATCGCTGAGCTTAACGTATTATAACAAAAATCTAGAGAAAGTTTTAAATAACATTTTATATAATCTTAAATGAACAGAAAGCACAACTTGTGCGAACAAGTAAACGCCGCCAAACGCGGATATTTAAAGTAACATAAGTTGAAATTTCAAATTAAAGGTAGTGTATTCGGAGACTAAACAAGCTCTACAAGACTCGCTCAGTATTTTTAATGTCGCATTTTAACATCGGCTAGCGAAATGGCTAAAGCCAAATTATCACTGGCAGAGCTGGGCCATAGGACGTAAATTGCAGGTAAGACTGCTAAAAGCTCGAACATTGAAACATTCAGAACCCTCGATTTAAATACTCAACCGACTAATTTGCATTGTGGTGAGGACTACGGAAAGGAGAGGTAGTATTTGTTTCATTAACATAAAATACTCATAAGTTTCTCCTCTGACAAGGTAATACTTTGCTTCCAGGGAAATAATTCTAAATAATGTTAATTAATATTACTTACCATAAGTGAATGCTAATCAAATGATAGTTTTCTCATGCTGTTAAGAATATCCATACAATAGCAAAACCTAATTTGGGAAGAAGAAGAGGTAGGTAGGTTTAAGCACATTAGTATAAGGTATTACTAAGCAAGGTTTTTTGAAAATTATTTTCAATAAGTTGTCCAAAATGGCCGGTTTCAAGGCCTGACAGGAAATCTTCAAAAACCAAGAAAGTAAACACTTACCTAAACTGGCTCTCTCATTTCGCAGATACACGAATTTATTATTAACATAGAAAATGGAATTTAAAAAAATTCCAAAAGCATTTAAATAATACTGGCCTATTCAAGAAATACAAATTCACGAAATGCGAAAACATTTAATAGGTACTTAAGATAAAATATAGCCAAGATAAAATATAGCCAAGATAAAATATAGCCAAGATAAAATATTAACTTCAGTCTACAGTATTCTCTTAACTTGCACTGTATAATTTAAGTTATGAATGTGCTTCTCAAGAATAAAGCAAACTGTTAAACGGGCACGATTAGCTAATATCTTTAATGCAAATAAAGATGATAGGAATGCTGTTAGAATATTTCTAATGCTTAAGTCTCTAAAGCTATTATTCATAAATAACTTTTTTAATTAAATACAGACACAACATTTCACTAAGATAATTTTGCACAAAAATAAGCACATCTTGACAACAGTTTCTATTACAGATGATAATAATAATTAAATGTCGTCAAACATTTCATAAAAAATTTTATGACCCACATTATGCAAATGTTCTCAAACAATAAATCTTATTTTAAAAAAAAAAGAAAAAAAAGTCTCTATTTGTTAACAAATGAAAACACTATTAATGTTGGAAACGTATGATATGAAAAAAGACGATAGGTAAAATTAATAGCAAAAAGTTTAAAAAGGGAAAAGTAAAGACTAATTCGTTATAAAAAAAAAAAGACGGATATTGTTACCGTCTCTCTTATCATGTACTTTTCTTCGTACTTTTCAGCATGTACATGTAAACATAATATTCTTTCATAAAATGTTTTGCACAAAATAAAAGCACTTAAAAATGTCTTTTAAACTAGAAATTGATACCTCCATATAGGAAGGGGGTAGATTTAAATTACAAACCTACATTAATTACAAAAGTAATACGAATTCAATATGATCCTCATGAAAAACATTTATGCAGTGAAGAAAATTCCCGATCTTAATTTATAAAACAAAAAATATAAAAGTCTTAATATGAGGTAGCTAAGAACATTACGAGCTGACAGTAATAAAATAAACTTAAGTCTCAAAATTAAGATTTTATAGCAAAATGAATGAAAGGAATAATAATGAATCATTGTGATGAGATTATAGAAATGTAATAATTTCACTTCCTTCGACACAACTCAGTGTTAGTTTCATTTACGAACATTTAATGTTAACTTTTTAAACCACTATTTTATTAGAATGTGAGTGAAGTCAACGTAGTCATCGTGAAGTCAGCTTAGTAGTGAAAATCAGCAATTTAAAAACAGTTGAGTTAATCGCGTATTCAAGCTCTTGCAGTCTCTTTAGCTCACGATGAAATTTAAATAAGTCATAAAAGCAACTCAAACTAGAAATTTTTTGGGTTCTGAGCAGAAATTAGTAATATTTAAATTTTATGCGAGTAATGATACGAAAGAAAAAGATTTTATCAAATATACCGTCAACAATGGAATTTAATTTACATTGCTATGTTCTCGAGAAGGAAAAAAATCTATAATTTGCTTAATCAATAATTTACTATTGCAAACGTGAGGACGATTAGGAACAAAATGGAGATTTGGAGCGATGACATTCTTTACGTTTGACAGAAGCTGTTGAAGGCCAAGATAGTCTGAAATCTGCAGAAAAAAATGGGTACATGCAAACAAAATAGTAAATGCTGTCAGCAACCTTAATCTTTCAACTATTTTTGCCCTTACCTGTATATCTGAATGTCTGTCTCAGCGCAAAAGCCAAAATACGTAAAAGAGGAAAAACATGTAATATAATTCTTTCTGACTTATTGAAAGAATGAAAATTTGCTTTCACTGTTTTCTCGTGCACTTGTTTAAGACTAGAAAGATTTAATATTATTGCCTTGTTCTGTTTTTGAATAGCTTCTTACCCTTTCCACTGGCGAAATTTGCGCCGCATGTAATCAGGATCGTCACCTTAGTGCATGTCTATAAATATCAAACTAAGAAAAAGGAATTATTATTTAACTCTATCATACAGTAAAATCCTTATTAACTATTTTATATCTGTAGTTATGCAATGAATCATTGATTTTAGGGTCAGAAATTCAAAACGAAACAAACTGCAATCCTGTGTCTCTTGCCCATGCCTCGACAACTGTGAATGCTTATGAGTGTACAGAGTGTACCGCATTAGTCGACAAAATATTTTCCACGGGTAAAGGGATTTTTCCCTTTCCCTCCTTTTCTAACGCAATACGAGAAAATGAGTGAATTTCTTACTTTAGCATGCTATGGCGATATAACTACAAAAAGAAAATATTCATTGCTTGTCACTGAATTAAGCGCAATTTATTGCTATTTTTTATTACCTAGAAGCGATTTTTCTGTTTCGAGGTTTGCGTTGCACTGTGCATTTCATTATTATTTCTTTCAAAGTTCTGCATGACAATATATCATATGGTAAGACTAAGAGAAATATCTTTTCTAGAAATCTGGAGCAAAATACATAATTAAAGAAAATTAGCCGGTCAGGAATTATTATATAAGAAGAATATTTTTTCTTGATTTCTTTTCAGTTGTTTGGTAGCAACAAAGAGTGCTTGGACTAAGGTGAATTTTCCAAAGTCACCGCATCAATGACGAAAGAATTTAATAGTTTACTGTGATCCTAAGTTGCTCACGGCATTTCTTTCTAGAGGACTTTAGTCCCCTATCAACTGACTTCAAATGCTCTTTACTCAACAGCATTAGCGTCGGAAAATTTCGCCACGGGCCGCGCAGCGTGTACACTTCACATCTCAAATCTTGCAACAGCAAAAGTGTGGGTAAAGAGAATAAATACTTTGTCAACATTCAGAAGCCGCGCCCGAAATTCGAAATTTCGACTCATGTGCAAGCGCTCGATTCACTGTCATTTTTATGCTTGTAGGTGTATTATCACAGTGCAGTGAATAAGATGAGCTCCGGTGCTTTGTTCTATAACTGAATCACAAAGTAAGAATAAAATTCTGTTAACAATGCAACGTTCCTTTTAGCACTCGATAAACTGATACTGATGCTAACAACTATATGCTTCACTTTTCCTCGAAAGGGAAAAATACGCTAGGAAATCTGGGTAACTGAGGCACAAATCTTCCATTTTCAAAGGAGACACTTTTACGGACTCCAGACATCCGATCAAGACGTTAATTACTAAGTCAACATACGGAAGTAATTTTTTTTTTTTTTTTCTGGTTGCAAAAAATACTGCCTAAAACGTTTCTTTTTATCTTTGGCGTACCATGCCCAGTCATTAACTCAGTCACTTTTCATTATTATTTTTAATTTTTATTTCATTAGTTATAATTTATAAAAATTTTTATCCGCCACTTTACATCTTATCTAGTTTCTATTAGTGATTATTAATTTTTTTAACACGAGAGGTTCCACTAGTTTCAAACTTCACTTCTTTATCCAAATCACTTTCGCGCCCGTAATACTTTTCAAATTTTTCCATCAAATGTTATTTCTGTGTATTACTTAATAATAATAATAATGTAAAGTATATAAAAAATAAAAGGCAACATTTAAATACTTTATCGGCAGTTCTAAAGATACCCGATATGAAATATTTTTTTTTTAACTTTCCCACGTCAAGACAGAAGAGAAACGCGTCAAAGCAAAACATAAAATTAGCAAAGTAACAATCTTGAGTTTGGTGTAAATTTAGTCAAAATTCTATAGATTTCGAGGGCAAACATTTACAGATCCTTTTTCTACTTTCATATGTATCATTTCCTCTTTTTACTTTCACATATCAGGCATCATTTTGATTCAAATAAATAAATTGAAGACGAATCTTAACCCCTTAACCTACGATTTAGATTCGAAAATGTTGGGCCGAAATTGTATGCAAGCTCGCGCAGCGTTCGGGACATTTACACGACTTGTGTAACACGCTAATCCAGGCAATCGTAAACATGACGAATTATGTAATTTTCGAAGAAAGTATAGGCGAATAATTATTTATGATACATCCGATGACGATCAACTACCAGAGTCCTGGCTTTGGAAAGAAATAAGAAATAGTCTAAAAATCTGGGATTATACGAATACGATGACTCCTGGAATAAGAGAGGAAGCCTTATGTCAATTAGGAGGAAGTAGAGGAGAATTTGATATATTTAATTTAATATTTGATGACATATTTTAGAACAATATTGTAACCGAAACGAATCAGTATGCAGATCAAGTACGAGAAAATCCACATAGAACACGAGTGTAAAAAGTGTAAAGTTCCGTTACATGTACCAGAATGCTTTGAAATATATCATATCGTTACAGATAACTAATTTTGTATTTTGGAGTTTTGTATAAATAAACATTTTATAATACTTGCGTCTACCACAATTATTGCATCAGACTGTAATTGCGTATCAAATATTCCACGTAATATTCACTTCTGGCTCGATCACCGTACGCGGGCTATGCCCGTGAAAGTTAGGTTTGGCCCGATCATCGTACGCGGGCTATGATGCCCATCATTGTAGATTAAGGGGTTAATTAGTAGCTTTAGTTCTATACTGACTTTTCTAATCTTAAATTTTAACAATACATTAAAATCTAAGGGTTCAGTTACTAAGTATTTAAATATTATACAAACTCTCTACTTGGTTAAATTTTAAAAAAAGAATTCAGACTATTGCATTGAGAAGGAGTACTGAATTTTCCATTAAATTCTCTTGTAGAGATATTAGGTTTCCATTATCACGGAAAAATCAAAAACACGATATATATAAAAATTATAGTAATAAGGCGAACGTGGAAAGTTCTTCACGAAATACCACTGCCCCAAAGAATGTAAATTGTTTCGTAATA